AGGAATGAGCTGCTGGTCGCGTAGCAACAGCTGCAGCAGTGTCTGGTTGGCGTGCGTATATGCGTCTTCGATGAATGCGTAGAATCTGGTCGATGTTTGGACCGATCTACAACTTCGTCAAGTGGTGTACTCACTTCTCATCATCTAAGCTGGCGTCCGAGGCATAGTCATCCGCCCTTCGGATTTCCATCCCGCATTCTCGAATGACGTTTAGGTACTTTCCCGCAAGGAGAATCTTATGTTTCCACCCTTCGAGCAAGGGAGGAACACATGCCCCACCTGGCAATCGTCCGTTGACTGTCCTGGGTAGCGGAACACCAGCTTGTCGCCTCTTAGATAAGCCAGCGAGGGTCGAGCCGTCACGTAGCTAAAACAGAAAATTTGTTAGGGAGATACATCAGTATCCAGACGCACGCACTGTATACCGCCTTTCCCAATATTCATCAGTATAGTCCATCTCCAATATCCCTCGGTTGATGAATTTGCTCTCCTTCACGAGTAGCTCCTCGTATGGATCTACTAGCCGGCCTGTCGTTATCCAAGTCCGCAGCATAGAGACGTATGGAACACCCGCTGCACTTAGGAGTGTACTGTGTAGCGCGTGTGCCGTTGGGTCACCGGACATATTCTGCATTCGCTCGTAGATGATGGCCAGAACTTCACCACCCTTGACTGGAATACCGCTGCCGCCAGTAACATCCAATCCGTTCTTATCCATCTCTGAAAGCACGGCTCTGAGCCCCGCTCCGCCGAGTCCCAACGCTTCGTTTCGTGCTTCCTCCTCGGGATCAATCGAGCTCGTTGACGACGAATCCAGGTCACCAGAAGGATCATCGGCCGTCCCCAACTCTAGAACGAGTTGATAGATGAGCGAAAGGGTGTGGATCGTGGGATGGATGTAAAACCACAGCTTCTGCAGGGAGAATTGGGCAGAGGTGGTGAAAGCATGCTCTAGCTGTGATAGTAGAGTTTGGTAGTCCTTCAGCATATCTCGAATCGCAGCGCATAGCGCATGATTGACCAGCCCAAAATCGAGATGACTGCGCTGCTCGACGAAGGCGAGGATCGCAGTGTAATAGGTGCCTAGAGGTAGAATACGCTCGACCAAGTCACGAAGAGAGGTATCTTGAGACGTTGTCAGTTTGAATGCGTTGGAAAGAAGGGTGCCGGACCGGACCTAAGGAGGGCGAAACAACGAAGCGAATGCCCTGAAGAGGGTCGTCATCCTCGGCAGAATAATCTTCGTGAAACGTGATGTATGTCCCTTCGATACCCTTGTATGACAGAAATGTGAATGAGTGAAAGAGATGAGAAGAGTAAGCGCACCATAAGGATATATAACATGTCCTCAAGGATCAGCGCCTCTTGTATGTCGACCGAGACGTTTTGCAGTGGCTCTTGCTTCGCCTTGCCCTTGATTTTCGGCATAGCGGAGGAGGAGCTGACTCGTGAGTTGAGAGGTGCGCGAACGAACGAGGTTTCTGCGATGAAGGACGGCTCATCGCGGCCTGTAGATAATGTTTACATGAAAGCCCAGTCTCAGAGGTGTAAAAACGCACCTCTCGCGCGACTTTCACGCGACGAGTGCCCATTACGTGCTAAATTCTCATCGATTTCATCCTGTGGATGTCGACTCCTCCGAACTGACGCGATAGTGCCAGTAATCTACGCCAAAGTTGATGAATTGACCCAGCACGATCAACGTTTGACCAGCCTTAGTGTATTCCTTCGCTGACAGGCTGATGTTTTTCTTCCGTGCGCCGTTCCGAGTTCCAGGCGTGAAGGGCTGCATCGCGCAAGCGGCCGGTCGTCGACGCGTAAAGAGAGAGCTACAAATTTGATCACATGAGCAATCATCTCGATATCATTCCCCCCATTCCCGAACAATCTCACCAGCGCAACCAACAGCTTCCACCAGCGGTTGCCCTCCTCATAATTGACTCTCCATCATCCTAATAGCGAAGCTCTTATACTTGGATTGTCATCCAGCCATCGACATTTACCATGGACAGCCGTCCCGCCATGCGCCGCAAATCCTCGGCCCAGAATCTCCTCTCGTCGTTCAAGACGCCCATCAATGTTCCCTCTACGCCCGTCATGTCTACCCCCCTTCCGAACAAGGAGTTTGACACCATGTCGCTGTATTCTGAAACGACGACGGTGAATAATCAACCAGGGACTGCAGGGGCACAAGGGACGTCGGTCGAGTACTTGCGGGATCTGGTGCAGAAACGAATCATCACTCTCACGTACATTCGCAACATACACGAAGGGTGCGTCGTGTGCACTTGTTCTCAATGCCCACGCCTGATCATGTCCGGGCGATAGTCGCAGCCATTGGTTCCACACCATCATGATATCGCGGGCGGAACTGGACAAGGAGTTCAACAACACAGACATGAAGAAACGGTTCGTATCGTCTATCCTACGGTCGCTTCGACGCTAAGCTCGATCAGAACTTCCCGATTTACTGTCCTTGGCATGGCACTATCCAGTCTTCTCGATATACAGCAGCCGCAAGATCTACTGAAACAGCTCATCAGCACGCTTCAAGAATACGAGCAGGCAAAGGAAGATGGGGATAAAGTCAAGATCGTGAGTGTGATCACTTTCCTGAAACACCTCTCTGAAACAGCCATGGTTCTCAGCAAGCCACGACGAAGCGATTGTTCAGGAACAGGCTAGGGAAACGACCAGGTGTGATCGGAGACCTTGCATACGGAGATGTGTCCGGACTCTATGCCCCCCACGTAGTACGTGAACAGGAGGGGACACTGGTGCATTCATTAAGCAGTTTCAGCCTTTCGCGCTCGACTACCATCAGACATTGCTCTCGCTACTCGACGTGCTATCGGAGGTCTACAATAAGATCTCCAAAATCTTGGGGCCGTCACCGTTCCCTCATAACGCGCAGAACATGATGGGCCCATTGGGATTGCTCGCACCACATCCAGGCGTTTCCTACCTCTTCTCCCCACCAGAGAGCACCCCCGGCTCGGGACCCTACGCGACACCACATCAAACGCATTTTTCGTCCAACACACATCTCTCTTCGTCCTCGCATCTCCCAATGGGGAACGAGGCGGAGATGGGCATTGGCAGTCTGTGGAGCATCGCGAATGTCAATACCAGCAGCCACTTGTTTTCGGTCCCGATGGCTGTTACATGGTCGCCGGCATTGGGTGAAATGGTCCTCAAGATCGATGGCAAATTCAAGGTGTGTATGCCAGAATGCCCTATCAGGTGTTCTCAAAAGCTATGTCAGAAAATCACCACGGTCCTCCTCAAAGAGCTCGATCAGTTTGCTCGTAATGGGATCAGGGCCGAGCTCTCATCATTAGATCCTCTGCTCAGGAACATCAATATCCAGGAGGAAGGCGGGAAGACGATCTATGACATCGAGGGCATGTAACATCAACCCCCGCTATCCTAGATGAGAAGCCATTGAGAACGGGGATCAGTTGTGAGTGAATTCTTTCCTCATCCGCACAGAGATCACAGGTTGAGCATCAGGACAGGCTTTCTTCCAGCTTTCCGCCACACGTCGAGTGCCGTCGACTCATACGGGACCGTTGACGCGCCACTTGTGCTATCACGAACGCGCATAGGGCAACAAAGGAGGAAACTGGATTCAAGCGAAACTAGAGCTATAGATCTGTACTAGGCAGAAGCCCGCGCGGGACATGGAGATCAAGTCGCCATCTATTTGTTGCACTTGCAGTCATTGGTTTTGCAGCCGCAACTACGTTCGTCAATCGCTGAGAGCAGTGCGAAGCCAGTCCACTCACGTCGCGGTGCAGTTGGAACAGGTGTTGGATCCGCAGGCCATGGGTGTCGGTAATGCAGGTAGATTGGGTCTGTAAAAATGAGATATTGTCTATGATTCTGCTGTGTTTTGCGCACGGTTTGGAGGATGTCGTTTGAGGGGTCCTTGTTCCTAGTCCTCGAAGTGCCATGTCTTTATAGCACACCAGTGGCCGACAACAACGGTCGCAGATAGAGATACCCACATGCAAACGCCAGCTTAGCTCTCACCTGTGAAAGACTTACGGTCAGCTGAGTTCAATCTCCAAGATTCTCATTCAAAACCATTTCATACGACAAGTGATCATCAAAGTAGTCTCACACTAGGAATTACAGGGACGAGAGGTGTACGTGTTTAGTTAGATTAATCGAGGGATACGGTGCCGTCTATGAAGTACAGTACCCCATTCGAAGCCTTCAGCAATCCACAGTCAGTCGACGCAAGCTGTCCGCAAACAGCTAGCTACGCACCTCATGCTTTGAGATGATGTGAACATGCCCGTCAAGGACGGCTCGACTCCACTCATTGGGTTCCCCACCTTCGGCGAGCTCAAACATGACAGATCGCCCATCCAGCATGGTGGGATATGTTCGGCCGTCAAAGGATATCGGAGATTCCTAGTAGGTGAATTAGGTCAACACTCGGCCAACAGCGAGATCAGGGGAGGTTACTGGAATGATGTGCGCCGAAATCCAGCGCTCCACATTCTCCTTTGAACGCGAGTCGTATTCTTGTTCTGTAAGGATGACACCATCCTGGATGGGAACCGGACCTTGATGACTGCGGGAAGGTTACAGCTCCTGCGCAGGCGGAACGGGCGACCTCGGACGTACGGCTTGCGTGAGAGAGACATCACAGCCTTGTTCGTCGGGACGAGGAGGGTGACAGGCTCGTGGGTCAGAGATGAGAACACGGTGCTCGTTTCGAGCTCGCGCGCGTAGGAATAGAAGATGGATGCGGACGACTGGATGGTGAGCAGGTCCGCCAATGATGGGCGTTGGGATTGCTGGGGAACATAGACAGAGTCGTGATCCATGACCACTTGCTCGCTCTGAGAGGCTAGAGCACGCAGGATGGGTAGCACCAAAAGACTGGATAGCTGGAGACGCATGATGATGATTAGGTCAAGAGAACTGTGTTGACGTCAGTTTTGCTTTGGGTAGGTCCGGCCCGGTCCAGCTCTGTTTCGTTTCGACCAAGTCTCCTGGAACTATGTTCATCATTAAGCTTGTTTGTGGAACCTGCCGACCCAATAAGACCTGTCTATTCCAAGTGCCAAGTGGATTTGCTACTGAACCAAAGTTCATATCCTTTTGTCACACGAGTACTGGCAGGTGCTGGCTCTCCTTGCGTGCTTCTCTGAAATGCATAGGCGGACCGAGCGGGAGATGCAGCTCCAGCAAAGCGTATGGGTCATCAGACGAAAAATCGGTTCGGAAATGCGCCAAGTGCTCTGGACCTTTTCCGCGGACGAGATGGTGTGAGATGCAAGCTCTAGCGGTACGTTTCCATTGCTTTACTTGTCGAAACCGGCTTTTATAGAATCGTACAGAAGATTAAGAGATACCCTGCATGCGTAGCTCACCTCAAGGGCTGTGCGATCTACGACACCGATGCGGATGCGAAAGCTGCTCATTTTCAGGTCTCATCATATTCAAGAATTTCCTCCATCTTGAGCAGCTCCACGACCCGTTTTGCCTGCATCGCAATTGGCTCTGGACTGACTTGTTTGCCAACCCATCGACGATGCGGGCGACACAATGCATCCTCACGCCACCTCTGGCATCGTACGTTCTTTCTCGTTGTTCACATTTTCGCAAGAGCACGGGGCGGCAAAATGACTCCGAAATATGAAACAGAGCCAGCATCCCTGCTTTTTCTGCAGTGGATTGCGTGAAAGACAGAACACGAGCGAGGGTGCGGTGTTTGCATGAAATAGTAACACATGTGAGCCTAATCTGTATCACATTCCATGTAGTCTATGCATTTAATCGTGTGCGCTAGAGCGTAGCTGTATTGCGCGCCTTCGACGGGTTCAAAGCGGAAGGGAAAATCACTTGTGCTCGATATGAACCTTGGCTGCGATTAGACGTTGGGCGTTGCCGGACCACTGATGGCTCCACGGTAACTCCCGGTCCCCTTCCTCCCGCTACTTACCTCCATGCGTACAATGGACGAATATCCGCGTAGTCGGGCTGCTCGTCTCTCCCGTCCATCACTCCATAATAGAACGTAGTGTCTAGCACTGTCAAGACGGCAGGCAAAGTCGACTGGAAGCGAACTCACCTCGGCCGTCGGTTTCCCGCTGAGTGAATCCAGTACCCAGGTATCCGAATCTGTTCCCGGCATAGCCATATTCGTAGTCCCAGTCCTCCCACCGGATGTTGTACAGCAGCTCCATGAAAAGTACACGGTTCCCGGGGAAGAGCATCGGAGCAGCTGGGAAGAGCAGTTGAGCAGTCGTGTGCACGATGCCGACGAGGCGACCCACCATCCTTGTGCAGTCTGAACCACGAGGAGCAGTTACCGACCCACGCCGTCCGCTTGACATACAGCTCCCGGTGCTCGTTGAAATCGTCGGCCGCTTTGTCCTTGATCTTGATCGCAGTGATGTTCTCCATCTGGAGTTTCTTGATGATCTTGAGGAACATGGTCGTGTCTGCAACGCTGCACTCAGTTCACCGGGTCTTCGATTGAGCATGTCGTTCGTCTCACAGGCGTGGATCACTGGAGCACCGGAGCCATGGGCGGTGGGGCCGTGAGGGCCGTAGTACATGAAGTACTATGGACAGATCAGAACGAGTGTGTGCCAAACTTACCGCGCAAGTAACGGATGTACGTTTGGAAAGTTTTTGACTGCAACGGACAGGTACTGCAATTCAAAATCAATTCCGGTGCTCTCAACCTAAATAGAACGACTGACACTGTCGACGGGATACTCCTTCCACAGATCCTGGATGTTCACGCCATGCGCGACAATCGGGAAGCGGGGCTTGAAGCTTGTGTCGAAGCCACTTTGGTAACGGATTAGCAGCGGTGTCACGACCCGGTAAGTACCAGATAGATCACTGACGTCGCACAGACAATCACATCCACCTCCACTTCGTTCCCTTGTGCGTCGATGAAGCCCTTCTCGGTGATGCGCTGGAACATCTCCGTGTAGACCTGAACGTTCGGCTCGAGCAAAGCCTCGAGATATCCGTTCCCTGGCGTTGGCCGACGACATCCTACGGCGAAATCCTTCGGCACAATGGCGTCAATCAGCCGCTCGTCTTGCTTGAGTCGTTCTCGCATATCCCGGTTGCCGAACTGTTGCTCTATCAGTCAAGTAACACTCGAATACCCCATTCTTTTGAAAGACCTCCAAAGATGCTAGTTGTTCTGGCGTGCCCTGGACGATGAACTTGAATCGTTCGTTGAGCTCAGACTGCAGCGCAAGTCAGCAAGTCATTCAAGCCCGACGACATGCGGACTTCTATCATCTTCCGGTATTTCAGGGCATGCTCTGGATCGTTCCGGAACCTCTCTTTCTGCTCTTCAGAGTCTGAAACGGTGGGTCAATTCACGACATCATCTCATCTACACGTTCATGACCGACATTTGAAGTTGACGCCGCCAGGTCCGGCGAACTGCGGGGCAAATGCCCCCGTGATCCAAGTGGGCGAGCGGATCCAATGGTACAGCTGCTTCACCTCTGGCTGGATCGCCGCCAGCACCTGGATCCCTGAGGACCCCGATCCAATCACCGCCACGCGCTTGTCCTTGAGCGAGAGGTTCTCGGGCCAGCGCGCAGTGTGGCACAAGGTGCCTTTGAAGGAGTGCAGTCCTTCGATCGAGGGCCACTTCCAGACGTTGAGAACACCTTGCGGGGCCTTCAGTCCAGTCATCATCACCCGGGTGTCTGGTGGAAAACCCACCGCCCCCGTTTAGGAACACATCGCACTCGTCCTCGAACTCATGCTGATCTGGCCCTCGGATGCGCAGCTTCCACTTCTTCGCGCCGTCGTCCCATTCCGCGTGTGTCACCTCGTGTTGAAGGTGGATGTATTTCCAGAGCTCGAATCTGCGCCTCGTCGAGGTTCTATAACAAACGCCTACAGGATGCGAGCGCACCTATCGACGAGGCTCTTGTAATAGCGCTGGATCTCGTCCCCCGTCGAGTAGTACTCGGACCAGTCCGGGTTCGGACACCAGTGCATCTGGTAGTTCACCGACGGGATGTCGCAGCGGATCCCTGGGTCTGCGCGATCCAGTTCGTCATTCATTCACTTGGCTTGTTTGTTTCCTGGCCGACACGCACATCGGTTCCACAGCCAGGTGCCCCCCACGTCCGAGGCCATCTCGTAGATCGTCAGGTCGAGCTTCTCGCCCGTCTCTTGCACATCGTGTGCTAAGCTGATACCGGAGATGCCGGCCCCTGCAGGTAAATCGCATCATTTTCACGTTTCATGGACAAGCAATTCTCCAAGCACCTATGGCGATGATCTTCATAGGCCGGAGCTAGATTCCGCGGGATGCACCGTAAGCGATCAAACTGCATCTCGCTTATCGATATCACATGCCGCTCCATAATCTCTGTCGGGAATCTTGTATCCCCGGTCATTCTCAGTCGGCCAGAGGGGTTTCTGCTCGGTGGGCATAGTGCAAGGAATGTGAGAGAGCAGAGGGAGAGAGAGAAAACGCCCTCGATCCACATGACTCCGGACCACACTGTTCATGATTGCCGGATCTGCATCGCTGACGTGCAGTCGGAAAAGTTCGCAGTAGAGATGGTTACAAGAATAGATGATACCTAGTCCAGACTGTACTTAGGAAAAATACACCGACGTAACAATCAAGATGGACAAGAGATCAACTTCTGAGAGATCAAGTCATTCGCAACTGGATGAAAGAGTCAGCACCACAGTTCTCAAGCACACGTAGGACTGGTCTGACCTTTGATAAAATAGTAGTCTCCGTAGACAATCCCTGTGAGCAGATTATGCGCCGGCCAATTGACGGTGCCATTCGACAGAAGAGATTGCCACGACGGTTTCCAGGCGAGGGCAGTAATGTTGTTCAGAATCTGCGGACAGATGAGTTTAAAAGGGAATTCGCTTCGGAAAGAGAGCGAGATCGGCACGAACCGTCATCGCCAAGTTCCTCCACTTGTCTACGTTGTCGGGTGTTTCCACGGAGGCAAGAAGGATAAGTCCTGTTGCCACGACAGTCGCAGCAGACGAATCTGATGGTCTCGGAGCCGGGGTCAACGGAGCATTGAAGTCCCTGTACATATGTCCTTCAGCCCACTGTATATTCCCAGCGTGCGCACGTGAGCTCACCAAGGAACGATGCCATCAGCAGGCAGATTGGTGAGGTAGTAGTTGGCGAGCTTACGCGCGGTGTCGAGATAGGCAGGGTAGCCGGTGTGTTTGTACACTGCTTGGTCGGGAAACAACCTCACGCTCTCAAAGAAGCCACGCACTGTTCGCAAATCCGTAAACACCCCACGCCTGACCGCGACTCCAGGTACTGTTGTTCGAGAATCCCTGCGACGTAATCTTCGCCACCACGGCGCCCGTCGTGGCATTGTACTCAATCACGTGCCAGGTGCCGCCGTCAGGCCGGATGTGGTTCTTCATGGTCGTATTGGCGTGCGTCTCGGCGATGTGGCGGAGCGTCGCGTTTCCCGTGAGCTTATACGAGACCCAGAGCACCTCCAGATTCATCATGTTGTCGATAATCACTGCCGGCGCGTTCAGTGGAGTCGAAGGCGCGCATGAACGGGCACACACACCTTGGAACAGCGTAGGATCCGATGTGTCCCAGCTCCGCGTACAGCCGACAACTGGATTGAATCTCGCGGCTAGGTCGGCGGCAAACTTGTTCACGGCAGCTATGGCCGTCTGGTTCGTCGGGTTTCTAGCGAGCAGGTCAGATGCAGGGACGCGTGTTCGACGTCGGACACTGACATGGCCAACTCCTCGACGAAGGGGAAGCTGAGGAAGCCAACATCATGGCCCTAGAGCGGAGCGTCGGTCGGGGCCGCACAGTACAAGCTAGACAGAAAACTCACGACGCCGTTGGACTGCTCCAGCGGAATGAGACCGTTGCTCAGCGAGCGGCCCCAGCCGAGCCAATCCGCCGCGCCCAGCCCGTTGGCAGCTGTCGCGCCACAGAGCGTCTTGCGCGTGTTCAGCGCGTACATCGTCGCCGGGAAGAACGCGCTCGTCCATGTATTCGGCGAGAACAGCTGCCAGACGCCGGTGTTGCTCGTGATGCCCGTGTACTGTGGGTACTGGATGGGCGACGGCAGCGACTGGGCGGTCTTCAGCACTTTCTGGGGCACGAGCGGGTCGAAGAATTGCGCGGGGTACGACTTGGCGACCGCGAAGGGGGCGAGGACCGCGAGCAGGAGCGCAGAAGCTACCATGGCGGGTGCGTGCTAACCTTGAGGTAGGTAAGTAGGTTTCCCTGCGGGGCGGTTTGATTTAAATACTAGCGTCCAGATCGCATCCGGTCCGGACGCACGCTCGTGGCCCGCCTCAGCACACGCCCAAACGACACCGCGATGTCCGTCACAGGATGCGTTACAATAAAGATGATCGCTCGAATGGGGGCAGACAGAATCGCCGCTTTGGCGAGTTTCGGTGATTGGTACGGCTGCTCAGCTCAGAAGCTGCGAGCTGTTTATTGTAGAGCCGCAGAAAGCGCGCGAGCATCGAGATCCACCCCGGGCGCAATCGACAGTCTCCATTTTCCGTCGTCCTCTGCCAATGAAACCATCCGTGGTCGAAGTGGAACGTGGAACAGCGAGCGATCCTGATGATCTGTCAAAAGCGCGTCCACGTGATCACGTGGAAGATCGACCCACGTGGTAGTAACTGGCCGAGAGTGATGCGACCTGCGGCGCGGATTCTCAACCATCATGGTGATTTCTGTTCGAGAGTCCTGTGACGACCGAGCGTCTTCTATTTTATTGTATCCACAATTGGAACAGCTCCTTCTTTCTAGCGTTCACCCCGGAGATGGCTTGGCTGCGCGCACTGAGCGTTATTGGACTGCTGCTTTCGAGTGTCAGAGCGGGACCACCCGTGTCTGTGCTATCCAACACTGTTTTGGATAGCCAAGGAATCTTTTTTGTGTCTTATGACGGTTCGTGACTGCCCGTCCACCATATGCTGACAGGATACCTGATTTGACTTTGGGAGACAGGTGTGGTCAACGTCAACTCCTTCCAGGACTCTGCGGTATTGACCTACGGAAACTACCAATTCTCGGCATGGTACAGTCCAGCAACCACCTGTGTTGGGCAGCTCAGTGACCATATTTCCTGCCAGGTACACTGCCAGTGGCGCCGCCATGCTAGGACGGCGGTCTCTTCCGTCTGGGGCGTGGTCGGTGCTCAAGCTGCCCCACAACCTCTCGGTATCGGACTCGCACAACGTCATCTCCCTCGGGGTCTCCCCTGCTGACGGCAAGATTCACGTCGCGATGGACTGCCATAGCACACAGGCAAGCCACGACTGATCAGTGCCTCGCCCGGAAAGCTCACCTCGCGCAGTTGTACTACACCAACTCGGAAGCCAACCTCGCCTCCAGCGGCAACAGCTGGATTGCGAGCCGCTTCTCCGCCATCACGTCCACCCTCGGAACCCTCAACGTTGGACCGTGAGCAGAATCCACCCGAGATGTCCCTCGCCCTTGTCTAATCAGGGTTATCCAGCCAGATCACCTATCCCCAGCAAGTCTCTTGACCCCCGGTTGTCTGACATGTCAATAAGCCCCAAATAGATTCGTGGTTACCCCGACGAACCTCCTCCAATTCGTCTACCGCACCGGCGTCTCAGGCAACGGGGCCACGCAGCTCGCCGAATACAGCGGCGGCGTGTGGAGCTCCGTCGGCTCCTGGGCGTCGGCGTCGGGGACGTACACGGCCCCCAGCGGCGCGACCAGCACACTGCGCAACCTGTACATCCACGGCTTCACGTACCACCAAAACCGCGTCCACGTGTCCGGCACCTGGCGCGAGCAGAACGGAGCCGTGTCCTGCAGCAGCGCAGGGCTGACCAATCATGACACCGTGTACTTCAACTCGGACAACCTCGGCACGCCGCTTTTCCGGGTTCTCGTTGCGCTGCTCATCTGATTTGACAATAGGCCGCACGTGGCACAACGCCGCCGGAGCGACCATCGGCACGTCGGGGACCACTCTGATTAATGTCAACACTGCCGGCATCATCGTCGATAGTCTCAATGCGGACCATGCGAGTGTTTTCTCCTGGATGCAAGATAATGAGCACTGACACCTGGGTGCTGCAGGCATTGATGAATCAGGAATCTCAGACCGTCGACTCGACTGGTCTGCCTCACATCGTCATCTCGTATGTCCCTGGTGAATACTCCTTCATTCATCCGCTGCTCGTGTCGTCTGACTAGTCTCCGCAGGGCGATTCGGCCAATGCGTGCAGAACTATGAGACCGGGCGACCAGAATTCGCCCGGCCGTTCCACCTGTATCAGAATTCTAATGGCACCTGGACCAAGTTTGAGATCCCGTTCTTCATCCAGAGCGTGGGCCGCTCGCAAATCGTGATGGACGCCAGCGACAACGTGTACGTCGTGATGCCGTTCGTGCGGGTCGTCACAGCCACGAAGGCGTCGGGGTGGACTGACTGGACGGTGGCTTACAACGGGACAACCGCCGGGCTGAATGCGTTTGGCGAAGTCACGTTGGACAGGGCGAGGCTGCCCAGCGGGGTCCTCTCGGTGCTCTACCAGCAGTCCAGCACGGGGACTACCCCGTCCCCCGTCCATCTAATCGAGTTCAATATGAACAAGTAGTCGCGGTACCCATTCCGTATATCAATCTGTTTGTCGTTTGTTTGCGGTGGTAATCTACATAAGTACTGGTTCGCGATCGATCAGTGGGCGAAGTAACTCCGCACATGGACAGAATCACCACCGAGCTCGCAGCAGCCCTCGTCGCACAACTGCGCCAGTGCGTCATCCCGGTGCCTATGCATCTCCATGCCGCACGTTCACGCCCGGCAGAACGCCGCCCGACACGCGCCTCATCGTCGGCGTCGCCGGCAGCCCCGCGTCCGGCAAATCGTCGTTCTGCCACCGCCTCGTGAGCCTCGTCAACGACAGCGCCGTGCCTGGCGACCCTGCGCCTGCGGTCCTGGTAGGCCTCGACGGGTGGCACCTCTCGCGTGCGCAGCTCGACGCGCTGCCCGATCCCCGGCTTGCACACGAGCGCCGCGGCGCGCACTGGACGTTCGACGGGCCCGGGTACGTCGCGTTCGTGCAGGCGCTGCGCGGACCTGCCGCCACTGTCGTCGTCAAGGCCCCGACCTTCTCGCACGCCCTGAAGGACCCGGCGCCAGACGCGCTCGCCGTCCATCCGCACCATCGGCTCGTCGTGATCGAGGGTCTCTACGCCTTCCTGGCGATCGAGCCGTGGAGGGTGGCCGCGGAGCTGTTGGATGAGCGGTGGTTTCTCAGGGTCGAAGAGGCGGAGGCGCTGCGGAGGCTCGTCAAGCGGCATGTGGAGACGGGGATCTGCCCCGATGAGGAGACGGCCAGGCAGCGGGCCGAAGGAAATGACATACCCAGTGAGTGTGAGCTTAGCCCCGGCGTTTCTGGCTCATGTTCTGCAGATGGTAAGTTTGTCGTCGAGAACATGTTAGAGCCGACCAGGTTCATCGAAAGCATTGACGATCCCGTCATGGCTCACGAGCTAGTGTAATGTAAAGTAGCTGGGCTTGACTACAAGGACGTAAGTTAGAAGAATTTCACGATGCCTGATAATCAGGCTCGCATTGGAGAGCAGAACTGTCATGGCAGCGCATCAGATGCGCCATCACTCTCACGGTTCAATCACCTTTGTCCGGATTCGGCATGCGTGTTTCCTTCACCCTTTGTGCCGTCATCTAAAGCTTTGTTCTTCCCTTTTATCACTCCGCTAAAAGCAGCCATTAATCTTGGGTGCTCTGCAATAAAAGGCAGTCATCGAGATTGACGACTGCCTGCTATAAGTTGAAAGCGTAGCCAGTGGACAATGCATTCTATTCCTCTGTCCCGCAACCACCATGTCGAGCATGGCCACTCAACAGACCCACTCTCCTGCTAGTCACCAGGAGTCCAAGAGCGATCTGCAGGCGGATCAGATTTGTGTGCCACCTGTTGATCAGGTGCAGGAGCACGAGCATGAGCAAGAGCACGAGAAGGAGAACGCGAGTGTGAATGAAGACAACGACGACGACGAGACCGCCACGATCAAACCCGAGCCCGAGGAAGTCTACGACGACGACAACCATCCCGCAACCCAGCCGGATGATGTATGCGAGAAACCGGGCGGACGGGCATTGATTGGCCAGGACTCGAGCTTCCAGGAGTCCATGGAGGAGGTGCTGCCGCTTGTCCCGAGAGCACAGTGGAGCGAGTCACGCCGGAGACTGTTCATTCGCACCGGTGCGCCCGAGTCCCGCTCCGTTCGTCCGACTAGGAGGCCCTGACTACGACTGCGCAGACTCGGATCCCGTGGCGGGTCGTGTCTACACCGATTTCGAAGCCTGTTTCCGCCACATCACTGCGACCCGCCAGGACCAGCACTTCCTCCTCCCTCCCGACGACCCCGACGAAGCATTTCCAGAGTGGATTGTCAAGGTTCCCCTCAGCATTCCTGTCGAATTCTATGATCTGCTGACGAGTAACCCACAGTCCAGCGACCCGATCGTCCAATTTCTGCGCAACGACCATTTCGGGAACGGCGCGAGGCTGGCGGACCCGGAGTACCTTGGGACTGGATCCCGATGCGCTCTGTACCGCGTCCGGCATTCGGTTACTGGCGCTGTCTGGCTGATCAAAAGGACGATCTACGAGGTTCGTTGCGTTTTCGGACACTTACTCTACGGGGCTGACGAGCGCGGCTGTTGCAGAAATACGTCGACAAAAACACCTTTTTCAACAACTACGAAGAGGTTCGCGCCAGACTTTGAGACCCACAGCCGATTTCTGATGGGGTTTAGAACGACGTGCTGAAGGCGATCCAAACTGCGGTGCGACAAGGTGAATCGGAAACCGATTTTCCTGCTTTGAGGAATGGGTTATGCCAGTTTGTCGGAAGCAGGCCGTGTGAGAATACAGTCGGTGCGGAATCTGCCATAAATGCAATTGACCCAGATTTTTACGCCTCGGCAGATCTCCTGTTCGAGTACATGCCCGGGGCAGATCTCCGTAACAGGATTCTCCACAAGAACCAAAAATTCGGTGTGCACTCCGAGTCGAATCCGACCTGGACGCTGATATGTCTTCCAGATCAACACAAGTGCAAGTCCGTGGCGGTCGATATTTGCACGGCTATGGCAGCGCTGCACCGCCGGGGCGTCGTGCACCGCAACATCGCCCTCGAGGTGAGTCGCTCCATATTTCTCACCAGCCGAGTTTTTTGGCTGACACCCGAACAGAATTTGATCTACTCGGACACGGGTACGAGGATCGTCGGGTTCGGCTCCGCCACCGCGAATTTAGAGAAAAGCGGAGCCAGTTATTCCGACAGCGTCGACTGCCACAGCGTCGGCGTCTGCCTGATTATGTTGTGCGTGCTGCACCATCTTTGCAAAGCGCTCAAAATCCAAGATTTATTTTCTCAGGCTGGCAAGCAATGTCCCTGCACTCAGAGACGTCGTCGGAGACTCGCTGGCCGCAGAGGGCTCCGCACTCGGGCGCCACCAAATTATCTGGGACCAAGTAAAGGCCGCGGCAGCTGTTGATGACTCTGGTGCGTCTCTTCGCCCAGCGTTCACTGAAAACAACCGTTCAACGTATCCCCAGGCATCGAATTCATCGATGGCCTTATCGCAGAAAATCCTTCCGAGCGACTGACCTTCGAAGACGCGCTCCAAGCGAAGTGGATCCGCCACCTCTCGCCGAGCTGGACTCCGCCGAAATCCGCGCCCAAGCAGTCTCAGTCTCTGATCCTGGCCACGGATAAACCCAGCCGTGCGATCAGCCTGAAGAGGATGCTATCCGACGCCGACATCAATCTCCCCGACAACTTGAAGCGGGTCAACTTGCACGTCGACGACGATTAGTACATGTCGGCTCGTGAATTACAACGATGACGCTTCTATAGTGCGTTCGATACACATGTGAATACACTTCCCACCGCAGCAGCCTTGTAGCTGTCAATGATGGATTGGACCGATACCTGACACGTGACGTCAGTTTGAATTCGATGGGTGCAACTGCAAGGGCTGTCGCACATAGGTCCCCGCAACCAAAATAAAGAGCCCAAAAACGATCAAAAAGTAGTTGACCAAGGTCTCGAAGCTCCGCAATGGCCCGGCCCATTTTGTGTTTCCGGGATGCAGCAAGAGGTAGGCCATGCCCCAGTAGATGAATCCGAACCAGCCATCTGCAGTCACGTGAGTAAATGTCCCTATCGTTCATTCAAGTGATTCGATCTGACCGAACAGAGAGCTCATCAGACTCAGCATATCAGAGAAGAACGGAATGAGCTCTGCAATCAAGAATGCAAAGACCCATGTCACGGCGATGATGGAGGCCCATGTAGCCCAGCCGATCAGCGTGTTCGAGTGCTTGTGTTTGGAGTTCTGGAAGATACGGAAGAACAGAAAGCGTGCGGTTACAGACTGTGCCCGTGTTAGCTAAGCGTCGCAGAGAAAAAGAGAGAAACGACTGAACTGAGTACAACGAGCCCAGATAGATGATGGTGGGGATTGCGAATGAGAACGCAATCTTTTTGTAGGTCGGCTGAAGAGCGCCGAAGGCCGGCGCTGTCATATACTGGTTCCCAACATCTGGAAAGAGCGTAAGATTCCGTGTCTCTCAGAAAGAAGCAGCTCACAATGATACATAATGCTCCCGCTGCCGCAAAGTCAGATACACATCACCAACTTTTCAAGATGATCGAGCCTCACCAGAGAGAGAATACAACAATCTCGCAAATTGTCACGGCCCATAGAGCTGCAAACATCTCATTGAGTACGGTGTTGGACTGTCGACAAAATGAGGTCACCTTTGGGGAAATCCTTGGGCTCTTTCATTTCGGCAATAAACTGCACCGCGATCAGATTCAACAACACAGATCAGCGAAACACACACCGAAGGTATCGTAATCTGGCCGATCAACGTGTAGCTGATGTTCAGAAACGCAGACATGCCATTCACGAAGGTCGTCCCCGCTACAGGCCACGCAGTGACAATCCCCGGTTCTCCGGCGATATACCCGGCCGGCTCGCTCTGGATCCCAGCGAAAACGATCGCGAGGAGAACAGCAATGGCCATTGTGACAGCGCTGAACGTCCCCAGCCCACTCAGTTGGTTCAGCGTCCGCGGAAGACTGACGACGAAGCAGAGTATGGCGGTCACACCGCTTTTGAATCGCATTAGATGATTGGAGGTCAGTAGACTTCGGAGAGTCGCACCTGAAACCGATGGTGCACCATCCAGAATTCGAAAGCGTGTTGAGGAGCCTTGCACCAACCAAGCAGTGTAGTCCTTGAGAGAGATGATCGAACCACGGCCTGCAATGGGGTACGATGCAGACGGACCTTGGATGAACGTGTTGTTCAAGATGAACATGACCGCGGTGAAGTGATAGCCCCATTGGGATCCACCACAGAGAATCCGGCCGATGTCGCATACATCGCGCACCTCAGGATGCTTCAAGCAGAATCGCCATATGACAAGCGCTGGGGTGCCGCGTTAGCGTCCGCACACGGCATCCATTCCAAGACGACGCACAGGTGTACTGCACCGTCGCCGCCACGGCAATCGTGAGCAGGATCCCGGGCACGAGCCCCAGCACGGAATACGACCAGGGGAACGACAGGATCGCCAAGCAGATGTACTCCGAGAAGAGCAGTCCGGCCGTCTGCGCATCGAATCCAAATCAGACGAAGTCGAAGGGCCGGGAGGGGAGGGGTGGAAGCATGACGAAACGCCGCGCACCTTCTGCCAAGAACACGTCCGGTATTGCACCTCGTTCCCCTGCTCCTTCGCGATCTGGTCCGTGACGCTATAGAGCGTGTCGTCGAAGGACGACGACTCCACATCCGAGCCGCTGCCGCCGCCAGCCTCCGTCTTGAGTGCGCTCTTCTCGCCAGACATTAGTTGCGTTATTTGTATGTTAGCGGCGGGAGGGGAGGGAGTGCTCGCAGGCCGTCAATGCGCTGCCAGTGGCGGGCACGTTTTATACATATACGAATCACCGCGAATGATGGAATAGGAAAGAAGCATGATGCGAGCGATCGTGCGGTGGGCCCTGTGGAGCCCCGTCGACTTCAGGCAGAACGAACTGACGCGCCGACTGGACTAGACACGCTAGTAAACGTAAGTTATCAGACGACCGCACACACAGACAACAAGACACCCACATAGCGCCTCCGTCTTGCGCAATAGAGCACGGAACGCGCACACACGAGCCGCGGTCGACACGGGTGTGAATCAGCATCATGGCAGGCAGGCGCGCGATTGCGCGATACGCGTCATATTCGATGCGATTGGTGCCATCTGTGGCGGTGCTCGGGGTGGGTCTCGCACTACTTTCGTACTTACATAATGGCTGCTGCCAATCGTCCCCCCCGGCCCAGAAGAAAATTTTCATGCGGGAAAACAGTTTCGCCAGTCTCACACATACTGTATGCCCCGTTCAGGTCCATCTTAGGGGACAGCAGTATTTCCGTGCGCGATAAGATTAGATGGTTGTATGTATGATAAACCGTGGGAACATGTTGATTACAACGAGTACTCAAGTACTCTTTGAGATTAGAATAAAGCCTGTGATCGCAGCAATGAGACCGTCTATGTGACAGTGCAGGTCGGGAACAGCTTCGCGGCATTCCCGGTGAGCTGGACGTTCTGGCAGGAGTAGCCCGAGCCGGACTTGGGACTGCACAGACAAATAAGAATCAGCAACCGGCGAAGCGAGCAAAGCATGGAGAACGCACGTGAGAGAGAAGTCGTTGACGTTAATATCGGTGCAGCGGTTTCCTGGCGAGCAGGAGAGTTTGGCCGTGACCGAGCGTGTGCCAGTTCCAGTGATGCTGCGAGCTGCGTCAGCGAAATCTGCTCAGGTATCGAGAGCACAGGCGGTATTACTTCTTGAAGAAAATGTCCTGGATGTACACGTTGGACGGGTATTTCGCGCACTATTATCGGAGATGGTTAGCAGTGAGCCGCAGAGTAGCGAGGAGCGTCTCACGTCGGCAGCTGTAGTCATGTAGCACTGCATTTTTCTTGTCAGAACATGCAGGTGAGAGTGCGTCGAGAGGACAGACCTGATCGATGACGACGGGATTATCAACCTGCGACTCCTTGAAGCCCATGAAGGTGATGTTCTTGACCAATCCAAGGCCTCTGTTCTGTCCGGCAAATGCTTTGATCCGCGCGCCGTTCTGCGAGTTGCTCATCACGACGTTCCTGCCAGCGCGTCAGCGTCTCAGAAGGAACGAGAGAAAAATCGTACGTGGCAACCACATTTTGAACATAGTCGTAAACTCCGTTAACTTCGCCTAAGGATCTGAATCGTGACGAGTAAGACCAAGATTTCAGGAGACCAAAAGGCACAAGGTTGATTCACCCCACTGAAATTCCGCTGGAGTCGGGTTAGCGACCGCCACAAATGCAAGAAAAAGCGGGACTCACTGGCTTCCATCGCAGGTCAAGTTGTCGACGATGACGTTGGTGACATCTGGCACACAAGACCGTTTAATGACTTCGACGACAACGAGAGAAAGGAAGCCTCACTCGGCTGTTCTCGTGTTCAGTCAACGGATAAAAAAAAACCGAAACGGACGCAACATACCTTGAACGAAACACAGTCGTCGCCATTCTTTATGTGGCAGTTCTTGATCGTCACTTGCACATGGTGAGCCGAGCACGCAGCCGAGTCAGCTGAGAATCCAGCACGCACCATCCGACGACCGGTAGATGTCCCACCCGTCTGTGTTCTTCGCGAGCGCGCTGCTGGTGCTGGCCGCAGTGAGGGTGAGGCCGTCGTAGGTGACATTCTGGCCGTTGACGAGGAAGTTGAACCACTCGGGCGAGTTGATCATGGAGATGTTCTGCACGAGCACGTTTTTCGCGTCGATGATCGTCAGCGAGATGGGCCGAGGCAGGGTCTTGTTCGAGACGAATTCGTCGTACCACGCCTGCGTATCATCTCATCAGCAAGCGAAGATCGAGTCGAGGACCGGCGAATGATCACCTGACCCGCGCCGTCGATCGTTCCTCCTCCGTTAACGAGGATGTTGTTTCCACCCAGCAGCCACCATGTGATCTGGGTTTGATATGCAAAGGCGAACGAGTTCTAAAATAAATAGATCAGGCGGTGCAACGTGAACAGCAATCACGTTACGCACTTTGATCCAGTACGGGAGATTAGGGGCAAAGCGGATCTTCCCCTGCAGGTTCTGGGCGACGCGAGTGAGTCAAGTTCTCAGCCGTTCCGGAGCGACCCGGGAGCTCACGATGTGTGTATTCGACAGACCCGTCATGTTCAGGCGCGTCGCGATGTTCAGCGTCGTCGCTTTGGGGATCACGACCTGCGTACAGGTCTGCGCGGCCTTGAGGAACTGCGGCGCGTCGTCGCCCCCGGACGCAGCGAGCGTGCACAGCGGCGTCTTCTGTGCCGCCGCGCACGACGCCAGCGAGATCAGACCGAGGACGTTCAGGAGGGAAGTGGACAGCTGCATGTTCCGGCGACGGGTGGGTGGGTTGGTTGAGGAATGACCCGGGCAGTTCATCCCCTCAACTTTTATACTGCACCGGAAGTAAATCGTATCGCGCCGGCCGAGAGCTCTTGGCGAGGCGGGCTTCCAAGTCTCCATCGAAATCCGCGTATGTCCGTCCGTCCGGCCCGAAGGTTCGCGCTCCCCGCCAGCCGCTCGCAGCTCGGTGGTATTGCTGATGTGGTCACCGAGACTCCTTGCCATTGGGTGATCGGCTTGTCGGTCACAAGCTCCGTGCGGTCCCTAGACGACGCGAGGGGTGCTTCTCGGGAGCCTATATTATTATTATTATACAGATCATTCGAAGGCAGGATTTGCGGGAGCAGAGCACTTGTTTCCCGTGCCTGGGAGCGCAGGCCCGTCCGTGATCCACGCCCTCACGTAATCAAGGGTTGGAGCACTTCGCTTCACGCTTTCTGGGCACTGCGAGCCTGCGAGAAGTGGGCATTGCCATGCGAACGCGGCACAGGCCGAGCTGAGAGCCAATTCGATCTGAATTCGATCAGTTCTGGATGGACCATGGTAGGTATCTAATTGCGACCGACGCTTTTTACCGATTGCACATGCCCCATGCGAGTCGAGGTCAGAGGTTTCCATGGCTGGCCATTCCACTTGGTTAATTATCCGACCCCGGTACTTCCTACTTACTCAGTTGCTACCCAGCAGGACTGTGGTGCCACCCTCGGAGTCGCTCGATAACAAGATGAGATTTTGGATCACAACACACCAACAATCCCCTTTCTGAGGGGCCGCGGCTGGAGCTGCAGGTCGACCTGCGAGCTCACGGTTCGAAACAAACTAGCAGCTGCTGCCCGTCGCATTGTGTTGAACACCGGAATGGGACTCCTCCACGAGTCAATGCAACAGCTAGATAGCATCGTCACCTCGTCACTTTCCTCCAATCACAATCGGCGGTCGGCCCGTCACCACCAGTCTCGCATTATTCGCTTTCACTTCTTCTCTCGACGCGTCCAGCCCGCGCACAACGAGGAACCGCACAGAGTGCCGCTTCATGAAAAAAAGTTTGTACCAGACTGTTCAAGCGGCGGATCTCTTCCTCGACGGCTTCTCTAGCGTTCGCAGCCGCAGCCGCATCACCGTACACCTTGACCGCAGAGATCCTCCAATCTGCTCGTGTGTAAGCGCCAGTGCGGCTGTGCAACGAGCTGAGAAAGTCTGCGCCCGCCTTGGATCGAAAAGTGTCATTCCAGCACGCAGGGCCCAGATTCTCGCCCGCAGCGAGCTTCTCAACGCGCACTTTGAGTTTCCCCAGGACGGTTTTGTCGCCTCCGACAACACGGATACGGACATGAGTATTCATGTGCGTGACACGGATGCCATCCAAAGAGTTCCAAGATCGTTCCTGTGCTTGGAACTGTGCGGTTGGAATGGCGAGCACGTACTGCAGAGGATCTGGTAGATGGCCGCGGATTGAGCATTGACCCATATACACTGGACGTAGTCCTGATACAGAGTCTTGCACTCGCTTGGCTGTTTCCCAGTTCGGGAAGCGGGCTTTGACCACGATGTTGCCCTCCAGACCATCTCGAGTGACGACATCAAACGCCTCTGGAGCCTCTATTCTCTCCACGTCCTGTCTTAGAGCAGCGATTCCAGCTTCAACGTCGTACGACAGAGGTCTGAGGAATTTCGAGATCATTCCCCCGCAGAATTCTTGCACCTGAGTTGCAGAGACCCCAACAGGTAGCCTGCTTATCTTGACTTCACGGGCCACATTGATACTGGCCCGGGGCGGGTTATTCATCTCCGCCCGAACCCGGCGGCCTTCACAGACTCCTCGGTTAAGGAACCCAGCTTTGGCTCTCGCCTGCTCGACAGTAACGAAGGTTACGATCGCGCTGGTCGACGGGGCGGGCCAGGTCATCGTCAGGGTGTTGGACGCATTGTTCGTGCCGAAGCTGCCCATTCCGCCCTCCTTGTAGCTCTCATCACCTCGAAGTGCAACCGCTCGTCCCCAAACTCGATGTCCTCCAAACAATCGCCACGATGCCACCCTCCTCCGAGGTGGTGACCAGCGTGACATCCTTGTGCCCATCAGGCGTCAATCTAGTTGACGCGATGAACAAGCGCTTCGCGTCGATGCCTTGTTGTGTGAACAGCTGCTTGATCTCATCCGGCTTCGCTGTGCGGGGGAGGTTTTGAATGCGGATGCGGCACGCTTCGAAGCCAGTGATGACATCCTGGATATCGATGCCCGCCGCAAAAGTCACAACGCTAGCGCCGAAAACTATGTGCTGCAATGTGAATGCAGCGTCCAGTTCGCGCTGCCGTGCTCTTTGGGTGGCTTCGAGCTCACGCTGCTGTGCTCTCTCGATTTCCATTTGCCGATTTCGAGCTCTTTGCTCCGCATCGCGTTCGCGTTGTTGGGTCCTCTGCGCAGCTTGAAGCTCGCGCTGGCGCTCAGCTTCGGCCTGTGCCCGACGTCCCGCTTCCAATTGCGCCGCAACTCTTCTGGCCTGCTCTTGGGCCGCCTGCTCCGTGCGTATTCGTGCCTGATCCTGGACCTGTTTGAGGTGATGAGAGATCGCTCTAATTACAGGAAAAGAGCCCACCTGTTGATCGTGTCCAAAAAAACACCGGTCCCCTTTCGTGCAGTTGCCACTGCGCCATGCTTTACAGGGCACTTCGCCTCGTTTCACAGACGATCGAGGCCCTATCGAGGCTTGTGAGGCTGTTATTGGGATGTTCAAGGCGCGTGCACGGGAGGCATTGGCACGCTGAGATGTTGCAGATCGGCCAGTCTCAGAAGACGCTTCTGCAGAGCTGGAAGCCTGCGTGGTAGAATCAAGTGGCCGTAGCCACAAATAAGAAGGCTCTACGTACCCGCTCGTGAACAATTTGCATCTTGACCCAAATCTGCACTGGCCCGTGTTAGCGAACGCTCGGCACTGTGGTGGTTGAGACATGGGTGCAAGCAACAGCTATGCCGATGCCATAACGCGGCTTCGAGCGTTAGACGCCCATCGCCTTCTTTACCAGGTGTATTGAATGCTGCGTTGCGGCACCTGCCGATCGAAAGACACGCCGAGTTGGGACGACGATGTGTATTGAAGTCAATAGAGTGCTTGATGAGAATTATCGTTCAGGTGCGTCGGAACTCCCGTCTAAACGTGCAACAAATGAAGAGCTCTCACTGAGTCAGAAGACTGAAGAGACTCGTTTGTGGTCTGGTCACTGCTCACGAGATATGTGACGGCTCGTGATTCAGTCAGGTGATAGATGGTGATAGGATGTGACGCGTGACAAATTATCAAAAAAATTCGGTTGGCTATGGGCGCGAGCATCGGCGAGCCGTTTCATCTCGCCAGCTATGGCATAAACCAGCGCTGAAGAAATCGAAGAGCCTTCGTAACAATGCACCCAACGTTTCCGTGTCGCACGAAAAGTTCGCCTCCGGAAGCTCAGACGGATACGTTACAGTGACCGCGCAGGGAGATGGCGTGCACATTCTGGATGTACGTCCATTCATTCGGGACTAATCCAGTCAACCATCTTCTTAGCTTGGGACCCTTCACTCCGTCGCATCGCATTCTCTTGGTCCCTCGACCAGTTTTTCCTGCCCCTCCATCTCTATCGCAGTAGTTGAAGGCGAGGAGAAGTATTGCGCGACTTATTCCGGGATCTCCTCCGGTTCAGACGTCCCATTTGAAAAGTCATCCCGGACGATTTGGTCCTGGCGTGCCAACCTCTCGAATCTCTATCTGAGAGAGCCTCTGAGAAGAGGCAGGCATTCGTGCGTTCACTTCGTTATCGGCCATTCCTGCAATCTCACACATGCAGATATCACACGACATCTCCCAAATGTACACACTACCTGGAGCTCCGCCACGCATCCTAGCGTTGTCCCAGCCGGTCACGCTACCGTCCTTGACACCGAGCTCAATATCCCAAATTCCATTTCGCCCTCGACGGAAGTCCAAATTCTGCGCTCATTCCCATTCTATGATAAAGACGCGAGTCTCCTACGCGGCCTGTCTATCAGTACAGTTATCGTTCTTCTGGAGCAGTCGGACGCCGGGATGGCTGTTCGAGTTTGTCTGTTTCGGAGGCCGGGAAAACTCAATGATCTAGGGTATACTCCCATTCTATACCATCCTCAATGTATCTTCTTCTTTACTCTGGAAGTGCGGCTGGGTCTCACAGCTAGA